TCGATTTTAGGCCTGGCCGACCGATTGGCCGGAAAAAAGCCGTTCTCTTAGTCATCGTCGAGTTCTTACCATTATCGCGTTCGCTCAACCAGCATCGCAACGGGGTGCAATGTCTGCAATTGCTCCTTTAAAGATGCTTAATGACTATCTTTCACAACGTGATGACATCTTAGAAACAATTACAATTTAGTCGCAAGAATCCTTCTTAACCTCATGTAACTCTGAATTGTTATGTATAATATACATGAGTTTCGTTAAACATTTTTAAACAATTTTTACGAAAACAAAATATGTAAAAAAACAACTGCGTCGTTTACCTTTTTTAAAATAAGAAGTCTTTTTATTTTAATCACACAGGATCACATAGGAAGTTTATAAATATAAACAGGTAGAATTAAATTAATAATATAAATAGGTGATTATAATTGTATATTAACATTAACATGTTGATATTTTCAGCTCCTGGAGTAACGGCATGTCCACGAACGAACAATCTGCCAGAATATAATAAATGTATTTTAAAGCAGGTGCAAATACTCACACCACTTCTCGCCAAGGGGGTTCCCTCTTTGAAACTGCCAGCTTTAGATCCTTTATTTCTGCCATCCTTGACTGTAGATAGAAATTTAGAATCATTGAAAATCAAGGCTAATATGAGTCAGATTCGTGTTTACGGTGGCACGAATTACATCTTACAGGATCTCAAAGCGAATCCCAATGACTTAACGGTTTCTTTCAAGGCTCGAGTGCCTCATATGTACGTGAGTGGCGATTATGATGTTCAGGGTAGGCTATTGTTGCTGCCTCTAAGCGGAATTGGCAACTTTAAAGGAAATTTCAGTAAGTTTTTCAAAAAAGTAAACTTAAAATAAAAAATATAATTCATATGTATATGCGTATATGTGTATATAGCTTATTGTAGATTTTATATTTAAGAATTTTATACAAAATGATGAGATGATCATCAATGTTTTAAATAACATATTTTGGATATTTAATACTTATTTAATGCTTATTTAATGTGCTAGTATGTAGCCTTCTAAATCGTATTTCATTATTCATTTTTTCCAGCTGATACCGATGTGCAAGTAAGCGCTCAAGGCAAAGAGGTTACTGATAAAAACGGTGTGCAGAGGTTCGAGATTGATAAGTTAATTACAAAAATTCGTGTTGGTGATGGAAATATTAAACTGAAATCACCTCCTGCTCACACGTTAGCCGGTACGCATTAAATCATGTACGAAATTTTGAAACAATGAATAATTTTAACATCATATATATAATTTGTGTATTTTAGCCGATGCTGCTGCAACATTTTTCAATGCAAATCCTCGTCTAGTCCTGGACATAGCCAGTCCAATTATTGAAGATACAGCCGTGACTGTGAGCAAAGCTCTGGTTACTAGAGCACTCAGCGTTCTTACTAAACAAGAACTTCTCCCTAATTCTTAAATTAAAACTGATATTACGGCCAATTATTTCGGCGCGATATATCATTAATTTCTTTATAACAAATAAGTAGGAGAATATTGCAATAAGTATCAATTGATTTAACTTAATTTTTACTCACTATTTTATCGTGCGTCGATAATTTTCACCGATCAGTGGGTAAGGCACGTACAATTGTTCTTTCAATGTCCAAAGAAAATATTTTATTAATTAATTATATGTTATACAGTTTCAGAGAAGTTGTTTTATTATATTTGTCTATTTATACTTTTGTACGTGCAAAATTTTGAAGTGTTAATTATTATATAACGAAGTGTTAATTATTATATAAACAAATATGATACGTATTATACAAATTGATTAGCTAATGCTTTTTGTTTCACAAATTGTTATTTACATATTTGCTTATTATATCTAATATTTTATTAGATAATTAAAGCTATTTTACATATAAATATTATATGTATATTGTATACAGTCAATAAAAAAAATATTACATCTTTGCGTAAAAGTATTTTATAACAGTCTTATGTAAATAAAGCCAATGAAATTGCATATATAAAATATCCATGTTTTACTTACAATAAAATTAAAATTTTATCTTGTTAATATACAAGTCATTCTTAAACTCTTTCGTAATTTTATTTTCAAGAAAAGAAATATTGTGAAGATAAATCTTTCGATAAATTATAGCTTTACAATTATTTTTTATTTTGTCAAGATTAATTTAAAAAGCAAAACCAATTTATCATATGACATTAATCATCATGATTCATTTGCCTTATTAAACTATTGCTCATGCTTATTTAAAGTGAATAATAAAGTAATTATCAGTAAATATATAATTATAGTTAAAAAATATAAAATCAGATCTATGAAACAACTTCTGGAAAACTTATGTGCGCTGTGGCTACTCTGTTTAATTTTACGATAAAATACAATTGTGTGTTTGAGTATAATGAGTGATTATAAAAACAATTTACACCAAATTATCATAGTTGGTTTTTCTTCTGCTTGTTTTACATTTTTTCAAAGTAAGTTATTTATATAATTTTTATACATGATAAGCTTAATAAAAAATAATTGTCTAATTGGAGCCTATGTACCTATTTCTTTGTATTATAATTATGCAATACAATTTATCTTAATATCTTTCAGTCAATATTTTTAGCACTTTTTTATGATTTTTTTTTGAGAAAGCAATATCTTTTAAATATACGTTTAAATGTACTTTTTTAAGTGCTTTAAGATATTGCGTATTAGAAATATATAACATCTATAGAAATATATGTGAATATGTGATATATAAAAACAGTATCGGAAGAAGATATTAATAGCTGAGGTCAGAAATTTTCACGATTTAAGAATACAATTTTTTAATTTAAGTAATTTATAAATAATTCGAGAGGTAAATATTAATTACCTGGAAACAATTCATCGTATGTGAAAGTTCCAGTAATTTTGTTGGCAATATTTGTAAAAAGATCTGATAACGATTCTTCCAATATTGGTTTTATTTCATCCACTAAGAAATTGCTATTTGCATTTAAAACCTCGTTGCTTGCTGGTCCTATTTAAAAAAAAGAAATTAGTCGTAAGGCACATGAGATACATGATGCTTGCTATTTTCTACATGCTTTTCGAAACAAATATCAAAAAAATATTAATTGTAAAATAATAACGTACCGAGAATAGGATCACCACCAAATAGATTGTCAAGATTGATTATAGCTTTATTTATCTTGATATCAAATTTCATCTTTTCAAAATTCACGTAGGTATTATTATTTTTAATGATTTTGTGAGATTTTAACAAACAATCACACTCATAATCAACTGTAAAATGTATGACAAACGTTTTAAACAAAGACAAGCATTTTTATAAGTTGCTTTCATCATTTCTTTATATGATTATATAGTAATAATTTTTTGTATATAGTAATAATTTTTCTGTTATTATATTTTAACGTGAAGCAAAAGAAACATAGGACACTTACAGAAAGTTCCAGTTAAACCTCCTTCTCCAACTAGGTTGAGCAAAAGAATTTGTGCGTTTATTTGATATTTTCCTTTGAAATCAAGTTTTTGGAAACCAACTTTAAAAGTAAGGAATACATCCTTTGGATCAATTTTGAAATCTCGAATTTTAAATGTCGACGGTCCAAATATCTATAAACAGAATTTTTAATTAAAACATATACACGTTTAATAATATTTAATAAATAAAAAATAATTTTAGTTATTTATAAAAAATATTCATTGCATTTTTAATAACTTTTAAATTATGTCAATAGATAAGTACAAATAGGTAAGCTTCGATGTACCTGTATATTTGTGAGATTGACATCAAGTCTCGCAGCTTGAGGACCTCTCAATAGCCGCACCTGCTTCAATACAAGTGGTTCAATTGCTGGAACCTCCAATTCCGGAATTCCGGTCACTAATTTGCTTCGTAGTTGGTCAATTGAGTTTAATACACATTTATTTATTTCTGGGTCATTTCGATTACATATTTTTATATATGATGCTGCAAAAAATATAAAATACTGATTCCCAAACCTTTTCTCAAATATAACTATTTTTTAGTTAATTCGTAAATTTTACGATGAGCATTTTACGAGTAGCATGTCAGTAGTATGAAAAACAATCGTTAAATATATTTTTATATTTTTGAATTTGATATAAACTAAATTTAAAAATTATTTTTTGAATTTAATTTGAAAAAGAATTTATGGAAAGATGAAATAAAAGTAATAAATATTATGTAAATAATATGAAGATTCTTTTTTTATATATTTCCATGTAACATCGATATTTTTAAGCGTCCTTGTAATACTTCAAACAGCATTGTCAAGTGTAACGAGTTCAAGAACGAGGACTATATTTAATGTATATTTATATAAAAACATGTAATTCAATGTGATTGATTATGCAGTTTAAATAATTAGAATATATAATAGCTATAACTATAACTATGATGTGTTTTGTAAGTTAATTTGTTAACAAAAAATTATAACAATAATGAGCCATTTATTCAATTTCTTTAAATTATTTTTCCTATAAATAGCATTTTTCATTTTTTTTTAAGTTTAATAACGAATATTGTTTTGATACATAAAAAGATTAAAAAACTGTTCATAAAATGAGTATGTTCATTTTAATTGATTGTCTGAATTTGAAAATAATTGTTAAAAGTTATAAGCTTATATAAAAATAATAAATAAAAATTTGAAACTTAAAGATTAAATTGTTTATTATGTTTTTACTATTATATAAGTATTTTATAAATTCTTATCTTAAATAAATTATTTTTATGTAAAAATGAGACCAAAAATAAAGGTTTAATAAAATACACATTTATATAATTTATTAATAAAAATTGTAATTATATTTCTTAAAAAAATAATATATAAAAAGCTAAGAAAACATTTCTTAATATTAAAATGTACAATATCATAAATTTTTAATCATAAAATAAATAAAGTTATAAATAATTATTTGAAACTTTTATTCATTTTTGTTCCTTAACTTCTGAACGCATATAATTATATCTGCAGTTATAAGAATTATTCTTTTAATTGCATTATTAATTCGTAAACAATTTCATTATATGAAGTCCAAAGTCGATTTAATATGCATGGCATTCATTTGCGTTCATCGTATGCGCATTTGCCTTCACGATACTTAATTGCGAATAAATTAAAGTAACACTAGCATGAAAACTGAATATGTAACGAGAAACTTTTTATAAACAGATTTGTAATTATATGATTTGTATAAATGTGATATTGTGAATTGCATTAAATTCACTATTTCTTCATTTGACTCATCAAAGATTGATGTTTTTTATTATTTGGCATATTAACTTTGCTCACGTGGATTTTATACAATAAACTTATGTCTCAAATCGTTGAACATTCACACGGATGTTCAATATCATTTACGATTATTATTAATGACTGTTGATATGCATCTTGAATATTAAAAGCCTTCTTAATATGGCCTAACATATAACACGTGTGCGTTTCGCGTGCGATTATATAATGTGTCTATTTTTAATTTCGTAAGCAGTAATATCATTTTTATTCCTTCTTAAATACAATCTGTAAACAATTGAGCACCATGTACTTCTACAGATACTTTGACAGCTATAACGTTACTCACGTATCTCGGCGAAGGCCACAGCAAAGATTGTACAGACCATACTGAAATAAAAGATCATTAATTGATACAATAGTTTCAGTTATTAATATTAATAAGCTAATAACATTCCTGCACCTCAGTTACTGTTTCTTAAAATGGAATGTTTAGTATTTATAGCGGAACTTTTCAATATACAGAATGTATTGGACCTATATATTAATAAATTGAATTTTTCATGAAAAATCTAATTTAGCTTTTTAGATTTTCTAACTTATATAGATTTTCCTTCATAATTTGTAAAAGTATAAGAATAATATTTGACGCATTTATTCTTAAAAAAAAAAACGTAAATGTTTTTAAAGTACATAAAAGGCATATTTATTTTCATTAATTACATAGAGGTGAATAATTACATAGAGGTATAAAAGTTTGTTTTTGCACTTAGCACCTATACCTATCTTTTGCTTAGACGTGAGGTTAAACAATATAAGACAAAGTATAATCAAACAAGACAAAGTATAAATATCAGACAAAGTACATAAACATGATTAATGAACGGAAATATCAACAATCTAAAGAATTTTTTCACATAACACAGACATCTTTGCTTTACACAGTATGAAGAATATTAAAATTTCTGAAGAAAATGTAGAAATAAGTGATTAACATACGCGCAAAATGTATATATTATAACAAATTTTATCATCTAAATAAGAAGATTAAGCACATTTTTAATCATTTAAATTATTGAGAAAATGTTTTAAAGCAAATCTTTAACACACACACACACACACACACACACACACACACACACACACACACACACACACACACACACACACACACACACACACTACATATATATATATATATAT